TTTTTTGTTTATGTTGTTTTTAATATATGAAATTTCAAGATAAAAAAATATTTTGTAAGTATTGTTGATAGGTTGCATACCGTTAAATAGCTATAATTTTAAAAATCTTATAAGAAATTACGTAGTTATATTATGAAATGTCATGTTTTAATTTCATAGAATAATTAAAACGAGATTATTATTTCACAGAATTCATAATCACAATCATCACTCTAGGCATTATATATCCTTCAAACAAAATAGTACTTAGGGTGTCTCCAATGGTTAGCTATTTGGCTAGCTATTATGACGTGGACAGGGGAAAAGTAAGAGAGAGAGTAGTCACTAGCTACTAACAAATAGCTTATCTATTTCACGTAGCCCAATATTATGTGAGAGGAGTATGTGGGTCCAATAGTGTAAAATAGTTTTTTTTCTTATCTCTCACATCCATGTCAGCTGACTATATAACTAGTAATAGCTATTACCATTGGAGATGCTCTTACAACACTACTTTATTTTAGTATTAGTATTTAGTACACTCAGTTTTTAGCTTTTTAGCTTCGAAATTCCAAATGTTGGGTTATGTTTGTTTTCAACTTTTCCTTGTAATTCACTACTCCTCTAATTAACTAATTATTCGTGTGTTAGCAAAAAGCTGTTATAAGTTTGGTCTATAGCTTATTAGTATTAATTAGTGGATGGACTCATTGCTCGAGATCAGGTGAGAGGTCCATATATAAGCCATTTTATATATATATATATTATGTAATATATATATATTACATTTAAATCCATTGAAAATTCTAATTTCATTTTGCTGTCCCAATTCAAAATAATCATTTTGACATGATGATGTCACTGATGATGGGATCAAGATACCACAACTTGGAAAATTCAGAATAGAGACATCCTTGCCACCTACAATCTCAACCTATATATTAATTCAAAACGTATTGAAACTAAGTGGTAGATTCTCACGCTTCGGATGCTGACATGCGAAAATCTATGAGAAGACCTATTTTTAGCTTAAACATATGTGTGAGTGAGCTAATTCTTACGGAGGGAAAGATTGGGATAGAGAATTGGTGTTGCAAACTTTTAACCCCATGTTGCAGATATTATCCTTCAAATCCCTCTCAGCCATCAAGGACACAAAGACAAACTCATCTGGCATCTTACAAATACAGGGACTTTCACAGTTAAATCTGCATACAAGATGGCTCTGAACCAACTTTCTAAAGACACAAATGCTCCAGAATCCAGCAAAGGCACTTCTGCAAATAGGAGAATGTGGGACCTCACTTGGAAACTACCAGTCCAAAACAAGATCAGAAATTTCATCTGGAGATGTTTGAGAGGTTTCATAAGCTCCAAGAAAAGACTCCAATGCAAAGGCCTCACTATTGATAGCATATGTGATCTTTGTGGTGCTGCTGAAGAAGACCTAGAGCACTTATTTTTCAAATGTCCAAGAGCACAAATCTGTTGGAAGATCAGTGGATTACAATGGAACAAGATAACAGACCAACCTAACTTCTCTTTTGCAGAATGGTGGTCCAACATCTGTAATGATTCAAGTCTCCCAACCATGACTGATAGGATAAGTTTATCTACTTATCTTATGTGGTGGTTGTGGAAGACTAGAAACAACTGGTTGTTCAACAAGGAGAAATGTTCTGAGGTTGAGGTGGTGAGAAGAGCTACTCATGACTGGAATGAATTCACTGATGTTGGGTTAAGAGTCCCTGAAACCCTAATAGATAAGATGAGCAACAACCTGACACCTTTAGAGGAATTTTTCCCCAGAGTAGGGCAGAAGATTTCTATCTCTGCCAGTGCTCTACCCTCTTTGGATGGCTGTGTTGTGTTTGAAGCTATGGCAAAATCGGAGGACCTCACTCTGCTGGAATGGAATGAATCATACAGGTATGAGGGAGATGAGCTTGGGAAAGCACTGTGTTTAGTCAGATGGAAAAAGCAATTCAAGCTGGCTGGTCTCACATTCTATGCAAAACCACAAGAAAAGGCCTAGCTAAACAGCTTAAAAGAAGACAGAATTTCAGCTGGAAAATACACACTGTGGCTGAAGATATCTACTCCCTTGCTAATCTGCTCTCTTCTTGTGAATTTGTGAATTTGCAGATGATGTACCTTAATTGTTGTATCTTGGCTGGTCTTTTTTCTTTTGCCTCTTTTCTTCCTCTTTTTCTTTTCTTTCTTCCCTCTGTTTCTAGGTAGTTTGCAGCATTATTGCTATTTTTGGATTTCAGCAGAGTCTGGAGT